TTAGCCACGCACTTTCGTGAGCCGGTTCTGGTTGCTGTCTTTTGGTGCCCCATTTGGATAAAAAGAGCAGAATAAAGATTGGAATGCTGAAAGCAAATTCAAGCGGAAGATGAAGAATTCATATAGAGTGGTATTAGGAGAATAATGGGTAGATGCACGAGCGTCACCGTTTGCAACATCCAGCCATATTACTGTGTCTCTAACCATCAGACCATCATCTCAGGGTCCCCAGCCAGGGAGCCAAACGGGGCCTATGTAACCCAGTCTCCCTCATACCAGGTTTTATTTTAACCTCCCTTGATCTGTTTCCAATCGTTACCTGCCTCGGAAAACATCGCTCGCCGTGGCAACCTATTTGGTGACATGCGTGACACGTCCCAATAAGCGTAATCTGTGGAGGACGATTGCTTGCTCCAGTGGACGACCGCAACTGCCTAAAACTCTAAACCTAACCTCAGTATTGCTCGTCCGGTTACCCCACCAGACTTGTGCTATGCGACGTAGACAGCGGCGTTCGAAAGCCAGCGGTCTAGCTTTATTCTGTACACATGATGGCCAAATCTCTGCGCCGTAAAGCAGTACTGGCCGGACCGCTGCAGTGTGCGTTCCATCTCCTGGAGATTTGGCTATCCATCCTACCCGTATCTTGCCGACTGTATCAAAACATTTGCACGAGGCAGGAGTAACCCACATTGCACAACACGGACCAACTGATTACACCTCGACGGTTACTTGCATCAAATTTTGGAGTGTTTTATCAAACAGCCAGTGTATTGTACGTAGTTATCGTAAAACGTGAATTTCAGCTCCCTTCAAATGAGTTGTTTACAAAAATGATCGCTCCGCGCGTGTGAGAGACTCAACAGATAGTGAACTCTAGACTATGGTGTGCCCAGATATTGCTCTCACCAGAGACGTCAGCCTGATTCATGTGCGTGTGAAATAAGCTAAAAAACAGATTCTAACTCAGAAAAATTGAAGTTGTCGGCTGATTAAACAGACCTGGAAGGGAGGCGAATACTAATTTTCTTAGTCTTTCAGTGAATTGCTATGGATATTTTTTCAATACAACACATTCGGAATAGAGGATGGAAATATACATCATATACGGAATACAGAAGGTCGAAGCTACGATCAGATATCAAATATTACATTCCGATACAGAAATTCCCCGTAAGAGTAGCCGTATGTCCACTTTCGTAGCGTCATATAAACGGAACTCACCAGTTCGAGTTTGGAGGGAAATGGTCATGTTGCAACCACCGGCGTCGAGAATGCCACAAGCCAAGATCGCTCCAAATTTGGCCAAAAGGTCCTCGTGGCGATCACTCACGATCTTCAGACACTTTTCACGGAACTCCACAGACTGACACAATGAAGCAAATAATTACAGAAGTGACCAGGAAGATGGATAAATGTGATAACCGAACGTCAGCAAACTAGGCTGTCTGTGAAATATTATGTTGGACAAATAAATAGCGCAGATACACTAGGTACAGTGACCGAGAAGAATGGTCACCCATTGGATTGTCTTTTACTTTCCGTGTTCCATCGCGGCCGCTAAACCTACGTAACTAGCATGGAAGCCTTTGAGAGGTTGCTATCTTCTGCCTGAATATTCAACATTGTTTTGTTTTATAAAACCAATAAACGGGAGCCAAAATAGTATTCTTATTTCCATTATTATCACTGGGACTAAAAGTTGCAGGGTTTTTTATGTAACACCAGTGTGTGATGAACAGAAGACGGGGCGGACCCCATAGTCACGAAGACCTGCTGTTCAGTGATGGTAACCGGCAACCTAAGCCCCGGGACTTAGAGTGGCGAACCACGTAAGGGCCCCACTGGGTCAGGTGTGGTATTGAACCGGACGACAGCAAAGCTGCCTACCACCAAAGTTGGGTGGCGGTGGTGGGGCTTGGGTCCAAAGCACGCCAGTGACAGCGACTAAACCACTGCACCACCATCACCCATATCGTGCTGTTTTGCTAACTTTAATAGGCAAAGAATGAGTACAATGGATGGTCAATTATATCAGCATTTTAAAAAAAGAGGATCATGAAAACGCGTCTTTCTCCGGATTCTTGATGCGTTTATTCGTCAAACATTCATTTATACTACACAAAAAATTTCACATATCCTCTTTTTGACTTGACAATTGTCAGTCGCATTTCTTTGTAACTGCTAAGGAGACCTCAAAAACAGAGGTGTAAAACAGTGGACTTCAATTTATGTTACACCTGTCAATTTCAATGTTCATTGGTAAATACGTGTACATGGTTCATACGGTGAGTGCTTGGATTAGCCAATTCGATTTTTCATAGGACGAAACAGCTGTCCAGTGCTTTTCGACGGTCACCACAGATTTCTATCGCATTTAAGTGCATTAAACCAGTACCGAACTACCATCTCCCAAACAGTGAAAAACGTACACCCGAGATCAACAGTGCTTGGCACCTGTGGAAAACCGGGATGGGGTAAACCAGACAGTCACCGTCTGAAGTAAAATATTGTTTACGGGAATAAGAGTGAGCAAGAAGAAAAGAGCATTCAATACCACAACCTATCTGTACCTTTAGACAAGTCACTCCATTTTGTTGCATGAGAACCATTGCCGTGGCTATCAGTGCACCTTGACGCACAAACGGAACCGTTCCTTCATAAAGCGTTTCCAGTAAGGTTAGAGCTTCTTTTGAGGCAGTGCCAGCACATGCCACACCAATAGCCATGGCGGCACCAAACCGAAGATGAGGATGGTAAGACTCTGCCAGTAGGGAAACGAGTGCTGGTACTTGTTCCGGGGTTCTGGAATAGGTCAAAATAAGAATAAGAATAATCATCACACTTGTACAGAGTAATACAGTGAAGAGAACTTCACTGATCGCAACCAAACTCATAATGCAAACAAGGTAAGTGACAATGTGTAAGGAGGACAGGGATTGAACCTATTCTTAGGGACGGGAAAAGAAAGTGAACCTCTATGGTCAATACGCAGAGTACACAGTCCAACTGTGCATACATACTGGTTCAAGAATTCTGGTCTGATAAGGAGTAACAGCGTGATCGGCATTACACTCGATTCGCAGCCATGATCTTCAGTGTCCCCAACATGCAGTTTCGGAGTCTTTTAGACCCCAACCCGGAAGCCGAGAGACACCTACTCTACCTAATCGCTCTGCGCATTTCTTCATGCCTCGTCTCCACGTCATCTGCTGGCCTCCACGTGGCTATTTCCAACCTGCAACAGCCACTGCGAATAACGCGCGCTGCGGTAGGCGACCGTCGGACATACGCAAAACGTGTTCTAACCAACGAAGCCTATTGAGCTGGATTCGATGCGATAGCGAAATCTTGTTCGATGCATTCCCTAACACCCGACGACTTACTTCTAAGTGAATAATCCGCTCACTCTATCCCACTCGGGCCAGACTACGTAGGCATCGACTGTCGAACATTGCTAAACGACGGATGTCTTCTACCCGCAAATTCAAGGTCTTATAACCGTAAACCAGAACTGATCGTACAGTGGCACAGTATACGCGACTTTTCAACTTCAGTGAAACGTCACGTCAACGCCACAAATGTTCAAGTCCTGTGTATGCTGCTCGAGCCTTGGAAATGCGGGCGGTTATCTCCCTTGATGCGCTACCGTCGGTGGTCACGCAGCTACCCAAGTACGAGAAGCAGTCAACTACAGCTAATTCCTGACCGGCTATTTTCAGAACGGATCTCGGCGACACCCAGTCTTGTAGCATCACTTTGCACTTTGAAGGTGCAAAGCACGTGCCGAACGGAGCGACAGAACTTGTTTATCTGTCAAGAGCTCTTTGTGCATCCTCCATATATTCGAACAGGCAAACGATGCCAGTGTACTCCAAATCGCACAGCTTTTCTCCAGCTGCCCATTCAGCTGCCTACATTTCGGAGACCACATAGTGTGTCCTCCAGTATTTCGTCTATGGCGAAATTGAACAGGAATGGCGAAAGAGGGCACTCTTGATGAACACCGCTGCTAGTTACGAACGACCTACTCAGATCACCGCAGACCCTTAAGCTGCCAGAAGTATGTGAGTAGAATGAACTCAATATGTTCACATACTTCTGCGGCATTCCTTTGCGAAGAAGCGAACCCATAAGGGATTCGCGGTCAACTGAATCGAAGGCTCCTTTTAGGTCAAGGAACACGATAACCGTTGGTCAACGGTGCGTATGGCGTAGCTCGAGGACTTGACGCAGAGTGAAGATTTGATCNCCCGCGGCCTGGTCGAAATCCTGCTTGTTGTTCGCGGATATTTGTCTCCCTAAACGGTGTCAGACGTCGAAGTATGATGGAGTGACAATTGGAATTAAGCTTATTCCACGAAAAGATGCGTAGGGATCACGTATGATATGTGAACCGAGAAAAATATGCAACAAATCTCACAATGAGGATTGTCGTGAAAACGACAGTTTTGTTCTCTAAAGTTTGAGACACTAAGTATGTCTATTGCTTGCGGATAGAATCGACTTTTTTTGTCATCATTAAGGACCGGTGCAATGATTGCACAATATATATATATATATATATATATATATTTAACACGTAGT